AGAGAGAGAGAGAGAGAGAGAGAGAGAGAGAGAGAGAGAGAGAGAGAGAGAGAGAGAGAGAGAGAGAGAGATTTGTGACTATGGGATGTTGATGACATTTGGATACGGACTCCACTTTGGGACAGACACATCCGCGAGGGACTATTTGGGATCGATATAAACGACATTTGTGTGACGACATTTCCATCTTCCCCGTCTTCTTCGTCTGATCCCCGTCCTCTTCATCCGTGTACGATCTGAGCCTGGCGCATTCTTCCTATATGAAGCGCCAGGCTCTTTCACACCTTGCAATGATGATGGTGTATGTTTTGGTCTGCATTGGGACATTGATTGGTCGGATCATTGGTATTTTAGCCTCCCGCTGCGCTATCCTGTACTATGTGAGAGAGGGTCGGTTCTTGTTGTGGTCTGCACTGTTACGGTATGCAACAGTTTGGTATCGGAGCGGACCTCTCAGGCAGAGGATCCGCCCAATCAAGGAACCAGCTTGCTTGCTTGCTTGCTTGCTTGCTTGCTTGATTGATTGTTTATTAGTTAGTCAAGTAGGGCTTCGTCAAATCTCTGCAAAACAAAAAATTCGCAACAGATCTCCGGAACTTCAGATATTAGCATTTCGTTTTGTTTTTGTTGTTTCACTCTGGGCATATTAGGTGAAATAGGGAGGTGGTCATATTCTCGGAAATTGGATCTATCCTCCTCTGAAAGTGAAACCTCCATTCTATTTCACGCATTTTTTTTTTTCAAGATCGCACTCTTTTTGAAAGACGAAACTTTGCGAAACCTTGCCTAGATCTCGCTCATAGTACTCCTCCGAAAATGCCTCACTGATAGCCGATCGACAGATATTCAAAAAAAGAAAAGAAAAAAAAAAGGGGTGGGATCCACTTCTTTAATTTTGTATTTTGTTCTGTTGATTAGGACCGGGAATGGAAAGTGCAGTGTGGTTACCTTCCTGCGTTTCCCTCCCACCCAGCCCTTTGCCTGCGTTCCCGGTTTGGTAAGTACCACGTCAGCAGCAGTGCCACGTCAGCAGTGCCACATCCTCAGCAGTGCCATGTCAGCAGTGCCACGAACGCAGCAGTGCCACGTCAGCAGTGCATCGCCACCATGACGGTTCCAGTTTTGAGCATGCCGGGCCAACTGGCCAGCGAGTCCATTTCCGAGTTTCGACAGCGGATCCAAGATCAGCTCGCACAGATCGAGGCTGAGGAACAGCGCCAGGCGGCAGCCAAGGCTGCCCGCCTACAGGCTGAAGTGGAGGCAGCAGCTGAAAAGCAACGGCTTCAGGCCGCAGCTGACACAGATGCCCAGGCCTGCCACAAGCAGGCCCAAGATCTGCTGCAGCGGCACGAAGCCACCAGAGTCGACGGGCTCAAGTTCTGGCACTTTGAACCATCCGACGGCCACGACGATGCAACACTAGAAGAGCAGCACAAGAAGTTTATCTCCAAGCTTGTGACCCGGATGGTTTACACTTGTAACCCCCTGCATTCCGGGTTAGAGAAACAGCACCAGGAACTGGCGAAGCTCCGACAGGCAGTGCGGAACCACAAGGATCTGCACGAGGATGCCACACGAGCACTTCATACCCGTGTACAGGACTTGGAGCAAGCAGCACCAAGACAAGATGTTGGCGAACCCAGCAATGCAGCCTCAACCCGGCAGTTGGAGCAACGACTCGACCATGTACTAGCGATGCTCGACAATATCAGCACCTTCGCCGCACCAGCCTCTATCAGCGAGCAACTCAACACCTTCAGGAACGAGGTTCGACAACTACACCAGCCGCTCGACAACGATGGCAGCACCAGTGCATCGCGGCAATACAAGATGCCGACGTTCCGGATCGAAATGTTTGATGACTATACGCATCAGGACCCGGTCCCCTGGTGGGAAGGCTTTACGACGGAGCTTCGGATTCATCAGGTCCCCGATCACTTGTACATCTCGGCGTTGTTCCTCAACGCCAAGGGCGGATGCCAGATCTGGCTTAGCCACATCGCAACCATTCATGGCAGTTCAGGTCGCCGACCTGCACAAAAAGATCTCTTGGGAAGAATTGACGAAGGAATGGAAGAAGCGGCTCATTGTTGACGAAACCCAGACACTCGCCATCAACCGCCTTTTCGCCATGACTCAAGGCAACACTTTGACACGCGACTGGCTCATGGAATGGCAAAAGATCGTGGCAACCCCCGATCTTGATTTGCCATTTTCGCATCTGTGCCAGGAGTTCTACAACCGGTCGTGTGCCGCCTTGAGCCTCACACTTGGTGATCGCGAACAACACACGACCTTCCCCGAAATCATCGACAAGGCTCGTGAGATCATCAAGACCAACCAGGCTGCTGCACACGAGAAATGAGCGTGGCAGCCAACCTATGTGGAGAAAGGAAAATTTGGTCTGCGTTCGCAGCCCTTCGCTACAGTCCAAGCGGACAACCATGTGGAAGACCCTGCAGCCACCCCAACATCACATGAGGGAGATCAGGTGGTCGCCATCCAGCTGCGACGTGACTACAACTCTCGTGGAAAAGGGAAGGCGAAAACATCATCGCCGGCCGGAAATGGACAGCCAGTACCATGGGTCAAGTTCATCTTGACCGAGGACGAATACAAGTACCACAACCGCTACGACTGCAACTATTGGTGCAACAACACCAAGCACAAGACCTCCCAATGCCAAGATCAAGGCAAGGAGGATGTTCGACCTCGAACCAGTTCGGGAAACTGAGCTGCGCGGGAGGTGAGGCGACTCCACCTGTCACTCCACCAGATTCGGCCGCCTTGCTAGCGGCCTCCTACACATCTGGGGAGAATGCGGATGTCGCAAGTCCTTGGTTCACTAATGAGGATTACGCTGTCCACTTTGTCCCACCGTTGGACCGGCCGCTCCACGTTGTCGCACTTTTTCTAGTCGGGTCTCTTCAGGCGACCAGAAAGTCAACAGGCTGTCACACAGGGTTTTAGGTGATATTTGCAATAAATAAAGTAAATTAAGTAATGCAAATCCCTTCCTGTTGTGTGCATCCGGCTTCAAGCGAGACCCTTCAATTGCGGTCTTCGCCGGTCCCCGGTCTTAGGAATCTTTTATTTTGATTCAGAACAACAAGAATCATGTAATGGTCATAAAGTTTTGGTATATCATGCATGCATCAATTTTGCCAGTTTACTAATTTTGAGAATCGTGACAGAATCAGCAGAGAAATGCAATCATCAGCAACGACAATGGAAAAGAGCAAGACTGACTGACTCGAGCCATGACAAGGTCAGGTGAGGGAAGAATGAGAACTCATAATAGTATCAGAAAGTACACATGGAAGAGAGCATGGCCAGCACAAGTCTCGAGTCCTCACTCATCCCTCTGAACCCTCACACTCGATCTCTCATTTTGCTGTTCGTCTCTTGTGCTTTCGTCCATGTCTCTGTACTATCTGAGGTTGTGGTCTCTGGATGTAGAGCCACCTGAAACCTGCTAGTTCCGAGCACTTCCAGCCAAGTCCCATGATACGGAAATCAACCATAGCACAAAACTCCCCCCATAGAGTAGGGAGATACGGCTGAGAAAAGATCCCTCGTCTGAGATGCGGGAACTCGGAAGGCTCAGTCACTGACTCGTAGTCGATTGCTGCAGGGGAAATGTACTTCTTAGCCAAGTCCACCAAGTCCCCCCAGTAAGAGTCGTCGGTAAGATAATAAGGAACTGGAGGCTTGGGGTAATCCGTGAAAAGCTTACGGCGAAAACTGTAGACTAGCTTTGTGCTCCCTTGTAGTTTCTCAGCTTTCCATTGCACGAACCTGGCTGCTGCAACCCACACCGCATCGAAGTGAGGATGTGTCTCATTCCCTTCCTTCAGGAAGATCCGCAGGTCTTTGACTGTACCTTTAGCAAACTCTGTAAGAGCAACGAAGATAGACAGATCCTCGCGCTTGAACCCGTCGATCTTGACATACCTGTAGGGGAAACTCTCCTTGGAGGCTATCAGATTGAGACTATCGAGGACCGATTGGTCAACTGTAATGGGGTTGATCTCTCTCATGTGCTCAGGTAATCGGTTACTCTCTGATAGTTGGGAGGAAGTTGATTTTAACTGAGAAGTGTCCGCCGCAGGTCGAGTCAACTGTTGTCCACTGAATAGGCAGCGACCACTGCAGAGCTAACGAACCCCTAAATCTGCTTGAGTGTTGTTAGAATGTTGTTTGAATGCTGCTTGAGTGCGGCTTGAACGCTGCTTCAAGCTAGTTGCAGGTTAATCTGAAGGTTACTCACCGAGTTAATCAGACCTCTATCATTAGCTGGAGCACCGAGCACCCACACACCGAGTAGTTAATCGGTGTTGGTTATTGCTGTTGCTAATTTCCACTAGTGTCAGTTACTTGTAGTGGCAGCTAGTATTCGTTGCTGATAAGATTGCTGATCTCGATATTGATTAAATAGTTGCCTTGCTGCCGATTTGGTCAGCTGCTAACCTCTGCGATTAAAGTTTGCCACATGTTGGATTAACTGATCCCCACTGGGTTGACAGTTGCGGAACCAAAGAGTTCCTGAATATTGTTGATATGCTGTTCGGATGTTGTTGAACTGCTGCTGAAATAACGAACCACTGTTCACTTATGATCTGACCTTTGATCTGGCTTGTTCCACCGTTTCTAACCACGAGCCGGTACTATATAGTTTACCACTCTTGTCACTGAAATAAAAGACATACTCTATGTACTTTTCTGCCTTGTCCTCCCAGTTTTCATGCTTTTCTAGGCTGACTGTACTTTTCATCACAAAAATCTCCCCTTCCTTCATGGTGTCCTCACATCCACATCTGACAGTAATCCCCGCATTTAGAGTGGATAGTCACCCTCAAACTCGGAGTAGTTGGCGCCCGCTCGGGTGTTCATTGATTATTAAGAGCCCTCGAGCGGGTCATGTACTACCACTTGCTGGAGTGAGGCTCGATTGGCAGATGGACAGCCGACTCGCGGTTGCTCAGTTGGGTGTTCTGCACAGGACTACTGACCGAGACAGTTGAATCGTTTCACATGAGTAAGCACCGGTGAACAAGGCAATTCTCATAAGGAAAACCACGGTGGGTATAGTAGAAGCCCAGTTTGCGCGAGGTAACCTCACGCTCTCATAAAGTCCTCTCGTCTGCCGTTAGGAATCCCAAGGGTGAGTTTTGGCATTTTGCGTTCACTGAAGCCTTAACCTGGTTTTCCGCACCGTTTCTAGAGATAAATAGGTGCTGATTCAATCGCTGGGGTACCTGGTTGTCTACTGCTTGGTCACTCAATGTTGGAGCACTGGAATCATTTAGTCAGAATGGATGCTTATCGATCGAAAATTGTACACATGGAAATAACAATCTCACGTTCGGTTTTCTTACGGCTTCTCAGACTTGTCCATCGGTGTCAAATTGGTGCATCAGTACCAGTTGCTCTCGCTGATCAGTTCTTGAAAATGCACTTCACTCTTGGTTACGGCCTGTCTCCTGATAATACTAATTGATTCTTCATGTATGTCTTCTGAATGTCACCATGTTATTCTCTCTCAGTCAGCTCGCATCTATGCAAGCCATTTACGGAATACCCTCCCTTTTCATCCTTCACCATTGGCTACTAACGGTCTCTCTCGCTAGGTCGATAGTCTCAAATAAAAGAGATTATGCTGTACAACTTCCTATCCGATCCATAAAGGTAGAGGGTGTATGTAATGTGTTTCCCGCCCTCCTTACTAATTCCAACGCACTCTCTCTCACTTGCTTCAGAATGTTTTAAATATCCTTGACTGACTTTCCCTCCCAACCTCTCTCTCTGCCCTGATAGGGAGTGTAAGTCATTTCTAAATTGCCCTTACTTCACATGACTTTCCCCCTTCTTTCCCCCCCTCTCACTCTTAGAGCCTCCCCCGACTGATCTTTCAGGGGTGAAAAGTTGTAAGCCCTGAAGAGTGTCCAATCTTACCGCCATGACAAACTGCAGGCGGGACTGCCAGAGTTCAGAACGACTGTTCTACCACTTGCACATCTCAGTAGCCATAGGTTATAAATGTCGTCGGCAAAACACATAGCAATCAGTTTGCATTGCAATCTGCCTAGAGATGCGGTCTCGCTGCATGGGCTCTTATGAGCCGTCTGCCTTAATAATTCGGATTACGGCTCGCCCTATCCAAAACTGGTGTTAATTCGGGCAGAGGTTGGGGAGGGTTTTTCCCGAGTCGGGCGTCAAGTAATCGGAAGAGACGACCACAGGTCATCCTAGGCACTGGCCAGATAGTGTTTTACTTTTAAAATGATTTACGGTTCTCGCTCAGAGCAGCGGAGGTGCACGAGTGGCTCGATTCATTAGATTGGATTAGAAGATTACTCTGTACTCAACGCTATAGCCCCGTGGATGTGGGTTCCATTCTTGTTCAAGGCTGCGAGCGCGGGAGGCACGCGCACTTTGGTTGTGGCATCTCTCTATAAAGCACGGCCCATGACTGACGCAAGGTATGATTTCGAACACATCCTGTTACTCAGGGTAAGTCCCATCCACACTCAGTACAAGGGATTATCAACCACAACTAACGCTCACATATAGCTCAAGCAGTTTATGAGATGTAACCCCATGTTTGCACCATCTAGTGTATTCGCTTCTCATTTACAATGTCAGGAGTTCCCAACACGACCGTTATTGGTGCAAGGGTTCAGCTAAGACGTCCTTCCTAGCTCACATATAATTCAGGCTTTCACCAAACCATAGCCCTTTTGTCTGTTAGTCGCTCAGAAAACGAGCGAGTTTCGCCGTCTGTTAGCATGCCAGTCGAAGTATAACCTTTTAGTCACCGTCCAACAGAAGCTTTGCCAGGAGATTAGCGATTTTTCTTAACATTATCTTCCTTTTCCCCATCAGCCAAATAAATCATAAACGCAAGTAGGTACCATCCCATCAAACTCATAATATTCCCAAATCAAACCGCTGGGTTTAGACCATTGTTCCTGAAAGATGTGACTATACTGATTCAATCACACCAGGACATGTTTTCACCTCTGCTAACTACTAATGGACGGTACATGATCACTACCAGGGACCTGAGTCCCAACAACTTTTGTTGAGGATCATCCACTTTCAGGGCACACTGACCGAACGAGATAAGAAAACCGTTCAAAAGAGAAGAGACGAAGGGTGACTTAGAGCTCTGC